AAAATTCTGCCGACTCCTGGATCACAGCCCGACTCCCGAGTTCCATATTAAAGTAGAAATGAAGCCAAAACTTTTAGTCCCCAGTCACACACGTGTTGCATTTGCACACGCTCATGCATGATTAGTTCCCGTGTTTGCCGTGCACCCCTATTGCTTTCAATGGGCTCCTGCACACACTGGAAAGTAGAGCATGTAGCAAAATCTGCATCATGCGTTCTGCATTTTACCTCCATGTTGGAATGCATTCTGTGTGCAAACAGGGGGGGGTGCGCATTTGCCCAGCAGCGTTTGGGGTCGATTAACTGGTAATGACATTGCAAGCATGTTTTGAGTTTTGATGCATTCGCTCAGGTGCGAATAATGGGGGCTCATAGTTTTGGATGGAGTAAGGGAGGTTTATAACCTCTTTTTTGCCCCGTTTCCCATAGAAAAGACTTCACTTCCTGTCTCACAGCCACAACAGAAAATCCCCCCAAAGTGAGGGAAATCCCTGGAGGTCAATCGGGGTCACCAGAGCTAGCATCCCAATTGGAAGATTTCCCATCTATCCTGTTCTGGTGAGGGAGGTCCATATTCCACAAATGTATTTATTTTTGCCATCCATGTCCTATAAAGAAGGCATCCCTTCACTTGGTCTCAAATAGCCACAACAGGAAGTGAGGGAAATCCCTGGAGGTCAACAGAGCTAGCATCCCCAACTCAACAATTCCTGTTTTGGTGACAACAAAATTGGGGATTTTCATTCAGTTTCAGTGACAACGGTCCCAGGGATGAATCTCCCTAACGGGGGCACAGGCAGCAACAAAAACCTAGCGGGGGTGGTCTAATGCCCCTCCACTATCCATAACTTTAAAAAAGTTTTGGCTTGAGTTGCACTTTATCACCCTCTGGTTTAAACTGGCAGTGCACAGACTTAAACCAGGACTAGGAGAGGACACGTCCAAACAGAATAGTTACTAAGGAACTTAAAGGAGAACTATGGGGGTCAGGGCTTTTCCACATAGTTCTCTAAGCTCAGTATATAGGGAGCTACAGCTCGCAGTATACCGAGATGCCGCACCCGGGACGGATCCCGACAATTATGTTTGGATCCGCCCAGCTGCGTGAGTGACAGCTGGCTCTGCCTATCTAGAGGCAGAGCCAGCTGTACCCGCCCCCTCCCCTGTCCTTTCCTCTAGTCAGCGGTGGAGGATCGGAGCGGGGAGGGAGGAAATCCAGCCCCTCCCCTGTCACGGCAGAGAGCCGTGACAGGATCGAGAGGTGAGCGAACGCTGGTATGTGTTCGCTCACTTCCCAATCTACTGAGCCGACCTGTGACAGTCTCATTGTCACAGGTCGGCTAGAACTATGAGGATGAGTGACACTCACTCACCTCATAGTTCTCCTTTAAGAAGGCACTTTAGAGAAGAGCCCCAGTAATTATCAAATTTAAAGGAGCGATCCCCTCCATGGGTTACCTTTCACCTGACAACTGGCTTCAACACACCACTGATATTACATTGTTCCTCTCCACTCTTCTGTCCTATGTCGTAGGGACCGATGTCGGACTTCACAAGCAGTACCAACGCTGCCCATTGTGATCCGATTCTTCCCTTTGTCTACAAGGGGGAGACATTGCTGAAAAGCACAGGACATCCCATAATGCATCAATACTAGTAACTCTCCCTCCTCTCGCATGAAGACCATGCTGCTTCATACAGACCGCTGACGAGGCGCTCTCCTCCAAATATCTTATCAGAAGCCAAAACCTTGAAATGTCCCTGCAGTCAGGAATTCTGGGTGTGTGGATCATGGAATGAGTTGAGCAGAGCGTCGCCTTCCCCGGGGTAGGAAATCACAAGGGATAGAGAAATGTCAGACGCTTTGCATGAACACATATTGTGCAGATCAGCAAATATTATCCCGGAGATTTGCTTACAGGAAAGGCAACCGAGCGATCGGTCCATCTATACAGAAAACCCAAAAGTGTCCATACCCGGGGCAACTGTGAGCCACCCCACAGGTTACATATCATTACTAACAATCCTCCCAACAACCGGGACTAGAAATCTTCTGCTGGGTCACAAATAAAAAGTTACACTTGGGGGACCATTTATAAAAGTCTTCCATCCGGCACAATGAATGCCGCTAGCATGGCACTACCGCCACTAGATGGCACAAGAACTGCCCATGCTCCTCAGCACCATCTAGTGGTGACAGTACATTTGCACAGCTATACATTGGGTTGAAGATCTAGAAAGTGAACCCTCAGCACTAGATGGTGGAGAATCCCTAGGTCATCCCTATGCTCTTCAGCACCATCTAGTGGCTGGGGTAGTGCCATGCAAATGGTGAATACAGCAATACTCTGGGCATAAAATGTATAAAACAGCGCTAAAAAGGTGAATCTCAAACCAAGAACAAAGATATAAAAGACTGCAGCTTGCTCGTCCTTGGCTGCGTTGGTTTTCCTTTTCTCAGGAAAAGAACAGATTACACAAAGCACTGAAAACTCCTTCTGTTTCTGAGAAAATTATCAAAACTGGTAAAGCTTAAAAGAGAACTATGGGGTAAACTTTGTATCCCATAGTTCTCCTAGGGGTCACGGGAGGACATACAGGTGAAACTCGAATAATTAGAATATCGTGCAAAAGTAATTGCAGTAAGTGCTGCAAAAGGGGCCCAAACCAAGTACTGAGTACATATGCATGCTTGTACTTTTCAGAGGTCCGATATTGTTCTATGTACAATCCTTGTTTTATTGATTGCATGTAATAATCTACTTTTTTGAGGTTGTGGATTTGGGGTTCTTGGGGTTTTCATGAGCTGTAAGCCATAATCATCACAATTATGACAAATCACGGCTTGAACTATCTTGCTTTGCATGTAATGAGTCTATCTCATATATTAGTTTCACCATTTAAGTTGCATTAGTGAAATAAATGAACTTTGCATGATATTCTAATTATTTCGAGTTTCACCTGTACTAACCCCTTCCCATGACCCAAAGCTCAGTATATAGCGACAGCGCTGCAGCCGAGACGGATCCCGACAATAGTGTCGAGATCCACCCAGCTGGCTGATTGACAGCTGGCTCTGCCTATGTAGATGGAGAGCTAGCCGTGCCCGCCCCCTTCCGGTCCGTTCCTCCAGTCAGCTCTGGGGGATTATAGCGGGGAGGTGGGCGGGGGGGTATCTCTGCAGGGAGCCATGGCTGACTGTCACCACTCTCTGCAGGTAGATGGATTGGGAAGTGAGCGAGCGACGGTATGCGTTAGGACACTTCCCTATCTAATGAGCCGACGTGTGACAGTTTCATTGAAATCACTCACCTCCTTTAACTGAACAAACCGAAGAAAGAAGTTGATTGGTCGCCCTGGGCAACTGCTCCAGATTCTGTCTGCTCCCGTTATGATAATTCCCCCCCATAATGTCCTCTTGAGCTGGGCCGATATATCAAACGAGACCTATCTTTCTATCCGAGCCATGTTGTTATGTAGACTACAAACTCCCCAACAAGAGCGAAGCAAAGAGAGGACACGTTTGTAGCTCAAATCAGGAGAGCCGCCACGGGTGACAACACTGCTTCCTGCACAGACACAGTACAGAGAGTGTTGTCACTCAGGAGCAGGAAGTGTGATCCTGACAAGATCAACAGGTGAAAATAAAAAGTGATTAAAAAAAAAGAAAATGCAGCCGCCACCACATCTAAGGACGGGTAACCCGCAATATTTTAATTTTGTTTTGTGTGTAGATACACCAACAACTGATTGTACAGAAATGGCGCTCTAACGCCGGGCTGGACAGACGCCAGGAGCCATGTCACCAATGCTCCTTACAATGGTAGCTGGCGCCTAACTTTTGGGATTTTCTCCGGTTCCGAAAAAATAAATTAGGCCTGGATGCATCCCACCGACGTCCTGCCGCACCCCCCCTCCCTGGACTGGGCACGCCTGCCCCCCCCAGACAGCATAATAACCCTCCACTCCTGCTATAAAGACTTCCAATCACCTGTTGGTATGAAGTGTTACAAGGTTGATCTCGTCATGGTATGTTGCTCTGTATGTAGCAGACGCAGCGAGGAGACTGAGAGGAGACGACAGAAGAGAAAATTGTACAGACAAAAACACCAACGTACTCATCAATAAACCTGATTGGCCAGTGTACGGCACTCAGTCACAGACAGCAGCTATTATTACAGTCAATTAATATAATTACAGGGAAATGTATTTTATAATTGATACAATCATGACACAATGATCCAAGGACTGCGGAGTGTACACGAGGACAGCCAATCAACATTCACAGATGAATAATCACTGCCGAGTATTGGCACCGATATCCTAATAACGGGACAACGATGATCAATACACAAGGAACATGACAAGCAGCAGCACATGGCGGCCGTTAGGCTCTTGTATGGGATCTAGACCCCTGAAGTCTATACGCGGGCTCTTGTATGGGATCTAGACCCCTGAAGTCTATACGCGGGCTCTTGTATGGGATCTAGACCCCTGAAGTCTATACGCGGGCTCTTGTATGGGATCTAGACCCCTGAAGTCTATACGCGGGCTCTTGTATGGGATCTAGACCCCTGAAGTCTATACGCGGGCTCTTGTATGGGATCTATACCCCTGAAGTCTATACGCGGGCTCTTGTATGGGCTCTATACCCCTGAAGTCTATACACGGGCTCTTGTATGGGATCTATACCCCTGAAGTCTATACACAGGCTCTATACGCCTTGAGCTCCATACATACTCTTGTGTAGGATAATTAAAGACTAAACTCCATTAATATTCTCTTGTATGGGATGTATACCGCTGAAGTCGATACACAGGCTCTTGTATGGAATCTATACCCCCTGAACTCTACACACAGGCCCTTGTATGGGATCTATATGAGCCCTGTCAGTGCAGCACAGGTCCGAGAGTCAGGCACACTCTCGGGACAGGCACACGGCCGGCCTGCCCCACATCCCCGGCTGACCCCATCCCTCGCCACCATTGAGCACAGCATTACCTTTTCTGCGTCCTGGGAAGGCCCCCTGTGTCCGGTGTACGGCGGGGTATCGGCGGA